CTTCTGATAATTATCACATACTTTTAAAAAGCCTTCTAAAGGCAACATTTAAAAAAAAAACACTTTGTTACAAGTTTTCTTCTACTATTAATCTGCTCACCCTGTTTTTATACTTGCTAACTTTTAGTTTAATTCATGTGGATTACTAAATTATTAATCAATGAGGTTAATGTCTATAAGTATTCACTGCATTGGACTAATTAAAATGAGATTTTTGGAAGAAAAACCAGGTTTCGGCTCAGCCCATTCTCCATTACTTGTATATTATGAGATTCATAATTTATTTGCTATCTTGTCACTTTCACTTGGTTTTGCAAAACTCTATTCAGGCACAAGACTCACAATGGTATTTAACAAAATGATATCACCTTAAATGGTATTACATTCCAATATATGTTAGTAAGGGAATGAATATATTTAGGTAGAGAAAAAGCAATAAAAATTTAAGCCATTTTCACTGTCAACACTGAGAAGGGAATATGACAAACTTCATAATAAAGGAAGTAAGAGATGAAAAGGAAATCTTTAGCCACTTCCAAGTTCTCAGCCTTGGCTTCAGGAAAATATCTGAAATATAAACCTTCTTACCTTTTCCTGGGAGAACCATTTTTCCAGTACAAGAAACCAGACCCAGGCTAATCTTTGAGGGTTCATGTCCTGTCCACATCTGAAAAATGTGAAAAGAAAGAATTTCTAAACAAAGAGTTTCTACTGACCTTTACTCTTTTGTGACCCAAGATTTGGATTTCACTGCTCAGTCTATTTTAAACCTAACCAGGCAAGAAGACATTGTCCTAATGAGGAATTTTCAATTATATGATAGATCAATAAAACTAGAACCAGAAAAAGAGCCAGCAGCTTTCATTTTAAAAAAAAAAAAGGAAAAAATTCTACCCCTAACTCCAACTCACTATCTAGTCTTTATTATTTTTAAACAAAATAACATTCATAGAAAACTACAAAAGCAAGTCTCCCTAAAGTATGTTCTTGAAAATAGAAACTGAATCAAGTAGCCTTAAAGAAAAAAAGGAAATTCATAAAAATTTATTTTTAACTCTATGCTAAAAACAGGGATATAGGAATTCATAAGGCTTTCTTTGAAGTTAGTAATTTAGACAGAAACTGGCTAGATCCCAAATGAAAAAAAAGGGAAAAATGAATCACCTAAGTCTCTACTCTGTATGTGTTAGTACAGTACAACACAGCTGTCAAAAGGAAAAGTGAGGGGAGAGACTAGACAGCACATTTAATTGTTATACTACTAGCTGTTAATAGCATTGCCAGGAAGAGCCTCACTAAAAATTTAAATAGAGAACAGTGGTTGCCAGGGTACAAAGAGGGGTCAAAATACAAAGAGGTATTCCCAGGGAGTGAGGGAATTCTTTTATGGTGATGGAAGAGTTCTGTACCTTGATTTTAGTAGTAGTTACATGGGTCTGTACCTGAATAAAACTGCACAGAACTACATACATAAAAACAAATCCACATTAAAAATATGGTGAAGACTTAATAAGTTCTGCAGTCTAGTTAACAGAAATGTATCAATGTCAATTTCTGGATTTTGATATTGTACCATAGGTATATGAGATACCACAATTGGGGAAGCTGGGGAAAAGGTACTCTTTGTATTTTCTTTTTTTTTTTTTTTTTTTTGCACTTCTTGTGAATATAAAACTTATTTCTATAACTTTTTAAATATAATATTCATATAATTATTTCAAAATAAAAACTTTAAGTGAATTGACTTCCAGACCTTTGTTAAAGCTACAATACCTTCAATTACATCAGCAAGAAGAGAGCCTTTCTGGAGGCAAAGAAAATGCTTTTCAATGCAGTTCCACCATTTACTTTAATGATAATAATCAAGAAATGGTGGTTTCAGGCATACTTTGCTGGCCAGGCTTACATGCTGTTTAAGAGGATAACTGAAAGCCAATACTGATTAAGTACTAAACACGTATTAGAGAGATAAATTTTCAGAGCAAGTGAAATACACTCTACCTCTGATAATTCCTCAGAGGACAGGTGAGAGAGGCACGTTGACCAGAACCCAAAGAGTGACCTTGTGTCTCCCGCCCTCAGACTGCCTGGAATAAAGAGAGATCCTTACCTCAGCTGATCTGGACACACCACCAGCGCCTGAAGTATATCTTCCACCTTTTTTGGGATATCCCCTTGTGCCTCGTGTAGCTGAGGTACACATGCCTGAGCTAGCTCCCATTCTCCTCTGCGAAGGCACTCACAGAAAAACCCAAAAAGTTGCTTCTGAGAAGCAGTTTCCTCTTTTCCAAATGGATGATGCATTTTCCCAGCACAGAGTGCAGGGAGATAAGAAGAAATAAATTACGCAGACCACATTGTCAATTTTCTCATTCGTGGAGCACCTCCTAGAAACAATACACACCACAGTGAGGAGAAACGGAAGGAACTATAGTTAGACAAACTAGTAACTGCTAGCCCGGCTGGGAAAAGCGGGACTTACTTCCCTAATTATTATTGTTTTAAGTTTGATTTGACGTGTTACTTTTTTTTTTTTTAAAGATTTTATTTATTTATTTGACAGAGAGAAATCACAAGTAAGCAGAGAGGCAGGCAGAGAGAGAGGAGGAAGCAGGCTCCCTGCTGAGCAGAAAGCCCGATGTGGGGCTCGAACCCAGGACCTGGGATCATGACCTGAGCCGAAGGCAGCGGCTTAACCCACTGAGCCACCCAGGCGCCCCGACGTGTTACTCTTTTTGAGAAGTTCCACCTTTCCCCGAGGGGTGGATCCCATCTCTCTACATGCATCCAATATTTAATTAATCTCAATGATCGTATTAGCTCAGGGTGCAGACCCATAACCGTACTTTCATATTCCCCACTTAACTTTACGCCCATTCCGACTCCAAATCCCCAGGTGGTCGCCTCCTTAAGGATGAGAAATTCAGGAGGAACCTCCCTCCTTGGAGCTCTCTCTTTAGGCAGATGAGGGAAGATTTGGAGAAGAGTCTGTGTCAGACCTGAAGGCCCTTGGGGATTGGGGCTGAGGGATGCTCTCTTCAGGGGTCGTGGGGAGCGCCCCCGCTTTCTTTGAGGTGCCTAACACTTACCCGCTCCCGGTGCCCAAAGCAATAGAGATTCCAGCGCAGCCATGTTTGAACCGAGTCAGGTGATAGATCCCATTCGGTAGGTTGTCCGATGTCGGGATGGGGTGGGACGACTGAGAGCGGCTACTCCTATTGGTCAGTGGAGGGACGATGCAAATAAGGCGCCATATTTGTTTGGGTCACGTGTCGCCACCTCTTTGGACTAGAGAAAGCTAGGTCAACGAAAGAGTAAATCAGCTACCCAGCTAATGAGGACCGTTCATCTCAGTTTTTACCACTCCTCAGCTCAACACCTTCTGTTTTGCGTTCGTCGGAGCAAATGGCAGGAATATCAGTGTCCCTTGATTTTTTTTCTTCTTTTACTTCCTAGCATTTGAAGTCAGCTTTTATTTTTAAAAAATTTTAAAAATGATTTTATTTATTTGACAGAGAGAGGTCAGAAGTAGGCAGAGAGGCAGGTAAGAGAGAGAGGGGAAGCGGGCTCCCTGCTGAGCAGAGAGCCTGATGTTGGGCTCCATCCCAGGACCCTGAGATCATGACCTGAGCGGAAGGCAGAGGCTTAACCCGCTAAATCACCCAGGCGCCCCTGAAATCAGCTTTTAAGTGCTAACCTCTGACAGTGTTTTGCCAGGCCTTAGGAATACCGAGACGCAGAGAAACCTGGATCCTCCTCCATTGTTATTCTATCCAACTGGGCTCTGTTATAATCCCAGAATCCTACATCCTGAATACCCATTTTCTGCCTAATTCCATTAATTTATTTGCTCATTTGCCTGACAACTGTTAATTGAACGGGGTACGAGTCCCTATTTTACAGGCTAAGTTGTGGACCCCGTCCTCAAAGAGCTCAGAGTCCAGTGAGTAGCGCATGCCAGTAATTAGGATACAATAGGTTAAATTATAAGACAAAGTGTGCACTGAGAGATGAGAACAAAGAATGAGCAAAAGCTTTTTTGCAAATATAATACTGCAATCTGAAACTGAGTATTAAAGCAACAGTTTACTAAGCTTCTTTATCACAGCTGCTTTTACACAGAAACTTGTTTGGTTTCTTTATGGTCTTCTTAAACTACAGACTCATGTTTCCCCATTAAGTGTTTTCAGTTTAAGCAATTTCACGCAGCATTTCCCAAACTATTTCATCACCAAAGTGTGGTGAAAATAGCAAAGCAGGTGCACCTGGGTGGCTATCCCAGTTAAGTTTCTGCTTTCTGCTCAGGTCATGATCCAGAGTCCTGGGATGGAGTCCCAGTAAGGCTCAGCGGGGAGTCTGCTTCTCCCTCTCCCTCTGCCCCTCCTCTGGCTTATATGCGCGTTCTCTCTCAAATAAATAAAATCTTTTTTTAAAAAAGATTTTATTTATTTGACAGAGATCATAAGTAGGCAGAGAGGCAGGCAGAGAGAGAGGGGGGAACCAGGCTCCCTGCTAAGCAGGGAGCCGGATGTGGGGCTCAACCCCAGGACCCTGGGATCATGACGTGAGCTGAAGGCAGAGGCTTTAACCCACTGAGCCACCTAGGTACCCCTCAAATAAATAAAATCTTGAAAAGAAAAGAAAAAAGCAAACCCAAACAAACCCAAGCTCTCTTTCAAAACCTCTTCTAGGATAGATGGGTTCTTATTCCCTGAAAATTAACATGTCTCTCTGGTCCATTACACATTTTATAAATGTAGTGACAAAAAAAAGAAAAGAGACAATTCCAAGCAAGGTTTTTCCTGGCTTCTTTCACTCCTTGCTGCTGTTCCTCTACAGGACTTTGATAACCACTGTAACGAGAAACTGACTGGAACTCATTGACTGATTGTAGTAAGAACTACAATTCCCAGCAAGCAGAGGAGCCAACATGGTGCTCTCTTCCTACCTCTGATTGGATATTTCGCCAGAGCGATGACCCAGTCAGCATTTGGGTTGTTGCTTTTCGGCGCTTTCCGCGGGGAACTGTGAGGGGTGGGGGAAACTTTGAAAGTTGGATGCCACAGACCCGGTACTGGAAAGTTTCATGTGGGGGGCGTTTGTGGGGAAATGGGATGCGCTCAATATTTTCTGCTCCTTCTTTGGGCCCCTCTCTGTGTTGCTGATTTCGGGGTAGGGGTGAATCTCTCTCTTTGGTCCAGTACACTCACCCTAGGCCTATAGGTATCTTAACAGGAACCCCGCCGCTGATCTGGGGGCTTCTGGCTTTCTTTTGTGGGAGATGCTGGGAAACTGCTCCTTGTTGGCAAAAGTTATTTTTAGGGGATTCGGGTGACATTTTCGCCTCTTGATGCTGTTTGGGGTCTCGGCAGGGGAGCCCATCATTAAGCGAAGTTTAGGGTCTGCTCGCCTTCTGGTGGTGTTGAAGAAGACGTAGTTAAAGCGAGGAGTTCGATCTCTGGATTGGAATGCGGACTCAACCATTTGCCCGCTGATAGACTTTGCACAAATTTTTCAACTCAATACCTCAGTATCCTTAGTCTGAAAAGTGAGGGAAAACATCGGGTCGAAGCTCTTGGAACAGTACTTGGCACGTAATAAGGGCTCAATAAATATGAGCTGTTATCATTACGTAACCGTTTTCATTGAACATCTTACTTGAGGATTTTTACTTTGTTGAGGAGGGAGGGTTTCAGTCTTCAGGATGGAATTGCTTTCCTCACTCCTGTTCACAGGTGTGGGCACGTAAGCGCACACACAGCAGGAATTTAAGTCTCTGGTGGAAGAAACAAACACGCAAGCTGTAATAATACATTAATAGGATTATCCAACAAATATGTACAAAATATGATGAGAACATTGGAGAGGAAGAGAGTGAGTTGGGGGCAGGCTTTGTGGAGGAAAGACAAGGAGTCAGGACTAACTGACTTTTGTGCAACCTACCAATCTCTCGTGGCTGGAGAGCCGGTAAGTGAGGCAGCAAATGATGTTTTGCTGCCTGTATTGATAGCTCTGTGTGTCAGGCACCAAATCCCTTAATCTTTCACTACTTTCTTATGAGGTAGATACTCGAATTACCTTTGTTTTACGGATGAGGAAGCACAGACACCAGGGGATGAAGTAGCTGCCAGGAAAGCCGAGGTCTGGACCTTGCAATCAGATACATGAATGAGAGGGAAGTGAGAGACCAGTTGATGAAGGGTCTTTATGCGATCTTAAGAAGTGTGGAATTTATCCCAGGGTCTAATGGTCTCATGGGTAGTTTTAAAGGTGGACAGTGACAGGATTGGAGCAAATTTTCAGGATTTGTGGCAGGATTGTGGTACTGACCTGACCCTTGCAGACCAGTTTGGTGCTTTTTCCTGTCGGCTTCCATAGCACATTTAAAAATCAATGACAATACTTACTGCACGACTGTAATTATTTGTGTATACATCTCTTTTCATCTTTTACCGCGTGTTCCCAAAGGGTAGGGAATGTGCTTAGATGATTCTTGTACCCCAGGACTCACAGAGTGTGTGATTAAGGAGGTGTGGAAGGAGCAAATGAATGGATTTTTTTTTTTTTTTTTTTTTTGATAGTCAAGGACTAACCGGAGGCAGTATGGATATGATGATGGGAGTGGCCCTAATGAGGCTGAGATAGCAGAGTTGGTTATTGTAAAAGGCCAGGAAGTTTGGGTTCTCATTTTTGATTGAATTTATCGGTCTAAATGGTGTTATTGCTCAGAACTATCTGATCTGTAAAGACATTAGGAAATGACACAGCAGATATCACTTGGTAAACTATTTGGGAAACAAATCAATACTGACAAACTCCCACTGGAGAATGAGAGGAATGTATTTTGTGTTTGGGAGGGGGTGTGTGTAGAGAGAGAGAGAGAGAGAGAGAGAGAGAGAGAGAGAAAGGCAGGAAGAAGAGGGAAAGAAAGGGAGGAAGAGAGTTCATTTGATTCAGAGAATTTAGATGTTATGTAGAAATTTGGGCCATGATATTGGAAATAAACTGGTATCTACACTATCAGTATTGTGTGATTTTGTTCCAGACTGTTACTCCTTTTCTGATAACTATATTGCCTTATTGCCTGGAACAATGAAGAGTTTCTCTTTCTACTCTACTCAAAGGACATCTTGCCATCTCAGTGAGATAACAGAACCTCTCCTTTGCATGCATTATGAAAGGAATCACAGTGATTGTATTCTAGTTCTCTGAAGGCAAATATTTCATGAGTCTCATTTAGCCCCAGTGAGGTTCAACAACAAGAGTGAAATTTAATTGCATGTGAGAATGTGAGCAGCTAATACAATAAAGACAATTTCAGTTTGTAAATAAGACCTGAAATAATAAAATCTCATTTGAATCAGAGGTTCGCTCTGCCTCGTAGAAAAAGAAGTTAAATATGATTATGGGCTTGTAGTAGGGTGAAATGGTTAAGAGGATAAGCCTTAGAGTCAGACTTCCTGAGTTGAAATTTTGGACCCACCATTAACTTTTTCTGATGACAATGGAATAGCTAACATTTCTAGTCTTTGGTGTTCTCATATGTAAAAACTGGATAATTAGTCAGACTTTCTTATAGGGCTGTTGAGAAGATTAAATGTGATAATTTATGTAAAGCTCTGGAACAGTATCTGGTACCTAGTAGGTGCACAGTAGATTTATTGTTGTTACAGTGCAGTGAAAGTAAAGGCTTTCTAAGGAGTGCTTGGAAATACTCCTTGAGGATTAATTACGTATCCAAATAAAATCTATAAATGCACTGAAAATCTTAAGATGCTAAACAAATGAGAAGTGGTGTCCTTATATTAATGTAAGAAATACCAAAGAATTGTGTGAGATGCACATTTTTATGTTGTTTTGTTTCTCTGTGTGGATGTTTGGTAGACCTTTAGAAAGATTCTGTAGCCATTCTTTATTTTATCAGTAATATTTTAAGTACTATACATTTCATTTTGCATCTGGAGAAGCTTGAAGAGTTTTTATTTTGTAGTGTGTTTTGGATAGCCTATCTACTATTGATTATGCCCTTTTCCAGTTCTTTTCAGGGTCCTTTTCCTGCTGCATCTGCATCAGGTCCTTAGGCATGGGTAGCAAGAAACTCAGACGAGTGGGATTATCACAAGAGCTGTGTGACCGTCTGAACAGATATCAGATTGTTACCTGTCAGGTAAAATTTATGTACTTTTTCTCTTGGAGAAACTTGAAGTACAAATTAATTATAGATATATGTTAATAACTCCAAAATAAGCCTGAAATATGAAAATCTAACTTTCTTAAAAAAAAAAAAAAAAAGATAAATGACAGTGCTTCTCCAGAGGCTAATTTAAAATAACAGGCTACGGGACGCCTGGGTAGCTCAGATGTTGGTCGTCTGCCTTCGACTCAGGTCATGATCCCAGGGTCCTGGGATTGAGGCCCACATTGGGCTCCCTGCTCAGCAGGGAGCCTACTTCTCCCCCTCACACTCCCCTTGCTTGTGTTCCCTCTCATGGTTAAATTATAATATGCTCCTAATTTTAGAATGTTCCTGTCTCTGTAATACTGACTTTTATAATCATCACTCTACATCATGCTGTGTCTCTCTCTGTCAAATAAATAAATAAAATCTTAAAAAAATAATAATATAAAGTAAAAGGCCACTAACGTTGTATTTTCTTTTTTTTTTTTTTTTTAATTTTTTTAAAGATTTTTTATTTATTTGACAGACAGATCACAAGTAAGCAGAGAGGCAGGCAGAGAGAGAGAGGAGGAAGAGGCAGGCTCCCTGCCGAGCAGAGAGCCCGATGTGAGGCTCGATCCCAGGACCCTGGGATCATGACCTGAGCCGAAGGCAGAGGCTTTAACCACTGAGCCACCCAGGCGCCCCTAACGTTGTATTTTCAAATGTGATTTCATTTATCCAGATTCCACTATGTTTTCATTTTGGGTCGGGGAGAATGCTTATAGCATACTGTTAAGTATACTCATGCCATTTATTTGGGATTCTATAGAAGTTTCATCCACTTGAGAGAAACTTTGCAGTGACGTAAGAAATAGGACTTAGATGAGGAGATGGTATTAAAAATGGATAATGTCTCTTGCCAGCAAGAGGATAATTTTCCTATCACTGAATGAGAGAAATGGATAGAGCAGATGTTGCATTTTTTTTAAAAGATTTTATTTATTATTTAACAAAGAGAGAGATCACAAGTAGGCAGAAAGAGGGGGGAAGCAGGCTCCCCGCTGAGTAGAGAGCCCGATGTAGGGCTTGATCCTAGGACCCCGAGATCGTGACTGGAGCTGAAGGCAGAGACTTAACCCACTGAGCCACTCAGGCACCCCAGATGTTGCATTTTTAAGCACAATAGTGAAGCAGATCCCTCTTGGGTTAAATAAGGTTTTATGTTAAGATTTAATCCTTAATAAGACAGATTTTCAGAGTATGCTACAATTTAAAAAAAAATTGCTTTGTGTGTTAATGGTGTTTTTGTTTCTTCTTATATATTTAAGAATCCTCATGTTCATACTTGAAAACACTCTTAAAAGTATGAGACTTAACATTTCATTCCATAGTCAGTTTTATTGTCTCACTGATTAAATACTTCCTCTGAAGGATCTCATAGCTTAGTAAGAAATCTGTTTCAACCTGCACTTTCTGGTGTCTGTGCCCAAACTCCAGCACAGGGCAGTGCTCATATATACCTGGGTTGGAGGCTGCTGCTATGTGATGTCACTTGATGTGTCCTCTGATATATGCTAAGTAAATTGGAGGATTAGAAGGTAAGTTTATGGCATCATATCTTTCAGTTAAGGTATATAGGGGGCAATACTATAAGAAACATATAAACCTGTGATCTACAACAAATTACGCTTTATCTATACATGGATAGTGTCCATTAAAAGTTTCTTTTTAATTCCAGTATCTTTGTTGCACATATATGTTTTAATAGTCATTTTATGTCTCTTTAGGACTTTTTATGTCTTTCCCCACTGGAGCTTATGAAGATGACCGGCCTTAGTTATAGAGGTGTCCATGAACTTCTATGTATGGTCAGCAGGGCCTGTGCCCCACAGATGCAAACGGTATATATATATGTATTTTTTTATGATTTGGTTATGATTTTTGAGATGATTCTTAATCTCATTGGAAATCTTTTTTGGGGAGTGCCTGGGGGGCACAGTTGGTTAAGCAACCAACTCTTGGTTTTGGCTCAGGTCATGAGCTCAGGGTCATGAGATCGAGCCACTGTGTTGGGCTCTACTCTCAGTGTGGAGTCTGCTTGAGCCTCTCGCTCCATCTGCCTCTGCGTGCTCACTCTCTGAAATAAATAAATCTTAAAAAAAAATAGAATCCTATTTGGGATGAGGCAAAAGCTAAAATAGAGATGAACACCTCAAAAATATTGACTCACACCATTAAGTTAGTCCTTTAATGAGAATATGTGAAAAATTTATATAGTTTATAAACTCATGGGAGACAGTTCCTAATTATGGGAATGAGGAAGCAACAGGAAGTTTTTTTTCCCCTGTAGCTAATAGTGATATTTCAAAAGGACATCTGTGTCTTTTGTTTAGGTAGAATTTGTGGACCTCATGGTTAAATTATAATATCCTCCTAATTTTAGAATGTTCCTGTCTCTGTAATACTAACTTTTATAATCATCACTCTACATCATAAAGTACATATACGGGGTTTCTACTTGCTTATTGATTAGATAATACTTAAAAACTTTGTTCGCTCTTTTTTTTTTTTTTTAGATTTTATTTATTTGAGAGAGAGAGAGAAGAGACAGAGAGAGGGGGAGAGCAAGCATGAGCTGGGAAGAAGGACAAAGGGAGAGGCAGAAGCAGACTCATTGTGGAGTACAGAGCCTGAGTGGGGCTCGATCCCAGGATTCTGAGATCATGACCTGAGTTGAAGGCAGCTGCTTAACCAACTGAGCCACCTAGACACCCAAAAACTTCACTCACCCTTGAGAAGAGTTAGTCTTTTATAACAAATCCTTGTCAAGTGGTACAATTATTTTATACTTTCTGTCTCATAACTTTAGCTTTTCAACATGTAGATTTAGTGCATGGTAGAAAAGATATTGTTTTCCCAGAATAAGAGTGCCTGGAAGTCTGTTTAGCGCTTTATAAATGTATTTATTTAGGTGAATTATAGATTACTTACCTTATATCTTATACTGAAATTTGTTAACCATTGAGCAAAAAAGTGGAGTTCAATTCTATGAAGTATGAAGGAAGGGATGTTAGTGTCATTTGAAATTTGTGAAATTAATGAATAGATGAAGTATTTTCTTTTTTCTTTTCTTTTCTTTTTTTTTTTAAAGATTTTATTTATTTATTTGACAGACAGAGATCACAAGTAGGCAGAGAGAGAGAGAGGAGGAGGAGGCAGGCTTCCCGCCGAGCAGAGAGCCCGATGCGGGGCTCGATCCCAGGATCCTGGGATCATGACCTGAGCCGAAGGCAGAGGCTTTAACCCACTGAGCCACCTAGGCGCCCCTGAAGTATTTTCTTTTGTTCGGATTTAGCTTGTGATCTAAGAAAATACCTCATAGGCAGAGTAGTCAGAAGAATTAGAATTGGAGATAGGTATTGGCACTGTCTTAGCTTTGTCATTGACCTCCAAGCCTTGAACAGCTCACTTCGTTTTATGGGAGAAGGAGGAGAGCTAAAATAGTAAGTGATGTTGCTGTGACTAGGTTCAATTAACTTGTTACTATTTTGAAGCTCGTAAAGCACCAAGAAAGTGTTTTAGTTTCGCATGTGTCATTCTGTTTGGTCAACATATATGGCGTATTTCTAGTTAGAGAATTAAAGAGAGCACGGGCAGGAAATTCACCTTTCGTCTCCACTTCTGCTACCATTTCATCTAAGGTATCAGTACCATTCCAGATGCCTGCTCTAGAAACCGTCTTTCTCCTTTGTTGTATGTTCACTTCTATAGCATTCTCTAGATTTGAGTCTTGCTGTAAACATTGGCTTAGCTTCAGTACATTTTTCCAGGGAATATATTTTTGTTCATTGATATATTCCTTTAACTGATACTTATTGAGGGCCAGACATGTAGCATGTACTCTTGTTAGGTCCTGGGGATCTTGTAGTGAACGTGGTAACATCCTGCCCTCCTGCAGCTTACAGTCCAGTGGGAGAAGTCAAACATTACACATATAAGTACATAAACAGTTATTTGTAGTAATGATAAGTCCTACCAAGGAAAAGTATAAAAAACTCTGAAACTTAAGAACAGGGTTCGTTACCTAGTTCCAGGGTTAGGAAGGGCTCCCACTAGGAAGTGACACTTTAGCTAAAACCTGAAGGATGATGAATAGGGGAGAGATAGGCAAAGTCAGGAAGAAGGTGAGCATGGAGGAGTCTGTAGGCAGGGGGACCAGGATGTGTAAAGGCCCTGTGAGAGAGGGAGGATGGCATTTCCTGGCAGTAACATCAGGCTGATGTGATGAACAGAGCGGTGAGGAGCAGATTGACCTCAGAGATGAAGTCAGAGAAGCAAGCAGGAGTCAGATCATGGGGCCTGCAGACATGTAAAGGATTTCGAACTTTATTCTGAGAGCAATAAAAAGTCCTAAAAGGGTATGATCTGTGTTTTTAAAAGCTCAGTCTTACACAGGGACTTTATAAAAAAACAAGATTCCTGGCACATTTCAGGCTGACTGTGCTGTCCTGATTGTTGCTGCTGCTGTTGGTGAATTTTTTTTTTTTAAGAGATTTTATTTATTTATTTGAGAGAGAGAGAATGAGAGAGAGTGAGTGTGAGGGGGGAAGGTCAGAGGGAGAAGCAGACCCTGTGCTGAGCAGGGAGCCCGATGCAGGACTCGATCCCAGGACTCCAGAATCATGACCTGAGTTGAAGACAGTTGATCAACCAACTGAGCCACGCAGGCGCCCGGTTGTTGGTGAATTTGAAGCAGGCGTCTCCAAGAATGGGCAGATCTGTGAGCAAGCCCTTCTGGCTTACACACTGGGTGTAAAACAACTAATGTTGGTGTTAACAAAATGGATTCCAGTAAGCCACCCTACAGCCAGAAGAGATACGAGGAAATCGTTGAGGAAGTCAGCACCTACATTAAGAAAATTGGCTACAATCCCGACATAGTAGCATTTGTGGCAATTTCTTGTTGGAATGGTAACAACATGCTGGAGCCAAGTGCTGACATGCCTTGGTTCAAAGGACGGAAATTCACCCTAAAGATGGGAATGCCAGTGGAACCACATTGCCTGAAGCTCTGGATTGCATTTCTGGAACCACAAGCCCTTGTGTTTGCCTCTCCACAATATCTACAAAATTGGTGGTATTGGTACTGTCCTTGTGGGCCGAGTGGAGACTGGTGTTCTTAAACCTGGCATGGTGGTCACCTTTGCTCTGGTCGGTGTTACCACTGAAGTAAAGTCTTTTGAAATGCAGCATGAAACTTTGAATGAGGCTCTTCCTGGGGACGGTGTGGGCTTCAATGTCAAGAACAAGGTATCTGGGGGCACCTGCATGGCGCAGTTGGTTGAGTGTCTGCCTTTGGCTCAGGTCATGATCCCAGGGTTCTGGGATCAAACCCCATGTCAGGTTCCCTGCTCAAAGGGGAGTCTGTTTCTCTCTCCCCCCGCTGCTTGTGTTCTCTCTATTTCTGTCTCTCTCACTTTCTCTCAAATAAAAAAAAAAAAAAAAAAGAATGACTTATCTGTCAAAGATGTTCATCGTGGCAATGTGCCTGGTGACAGCAAAAATGACCCACCCGTGGAAGCAGCTGGCTTCACAGCTCAGGTGATTATCCTGAACCATCTAGGCCAAATCAGTGCTGGATATGCACCTGTACTGGATTGTCACACAGCTCACATTGCTTGCAAGTTTACTGAGCTGAAGAAGATAGATCATCATTGTGGGAAAAAGCTGGAAGATGGTTCCAAGTTCTTGAAATCTGATGATGCTGCCATCGTTGATATGGTTCCTGGCAAGCCTGTGCGTGTTAAGAACTTCATTATCCTCCTCTGGACCATTTTACTGTTGGTGACATAAGACAGATGGTTGCTGTGGGTGTCATCAGAGCAGTGGACAAGAGGGCAGCTGGAGCTGGCAAGGTCACCAAGTCTGCCCAGAAAGCTCAGAAGGCTAAATGAGTATTATGCCCAGTACCTGCCAGTCCAGTCTTAATCAGTGGTGGAAGAATGGTCTCGGAACTCTTTGTGTCAATTGGCCAATTAATAGTAAAAGACTAGTTATTGATAACAGTGCATCATAAAACCTTCAGAAGGAAAGGAGAATGTTTTGTGGACCATTTGTGTTTTTTTGTGTGTGGTTTTATTATTAATTTTGAAAAGTCAGTACTTTTTAATGAAAACAACATGACCAAAAATCTGTTACAGAATTTTGAGACCCATTAAAACAAAAATTTAATGAGAAAAAAAACCCCCACAACAACTCAGTCTCGAACACAGATAAGTGATTGGAAAGGAGCAGAAAAATATTTGTGAAGACCACTTAGGTATCCACTCCTATCTTCCAGACAGAAAGTGGTTCTGACGAGCGTTTTTCGAGTGGTGTCAGTGCAGATGGCATTATGTGAGTTGTTATGAGAGATATTTAGGAGGCAGAATGAGTAGGATTGGTGATTGTTTGCCAGTGGGTAGTGGTGAAATACAGGAAAGTGACAGATGAGTCCTTGATTTTTTTTGCTTTGGGAAACTGGGTAGTACCACTTCCTGAGATAAGGAATGCTGGAAAAAGGATCAGACTTGATGGAGGCAGATCATGAATTTAATTTAGTACTTGTTGAATGTAAGGGGCTTATGAAACATTGAGTGGGGATATGAAGCAGGCAGTTCAGTACTCGGACCTGCTATCTGAAGGAGAGGTCCGTGGAGCAGTTTGTGTTTGGGAGTCCTCAGTGTAAATATGACAATGAGATAAGCGTATCCAAGACCAAGTCCTGAGTGAAGCCAACACTTTAAAATCAGATGAAGTAATGATGCGTCTGAGAAGAAGCAGCCACCACCATAAAAGAAAAACTGGTGAAGTGGCATACCAAAATACTCCTTTTTGTTTCATTTATATACATACTATCATCTCTGATATTGTATACATACTCTCCTATCTTATCCTGTTCCTTCATTTTAGTCTTTTTTATATGTGTCACTAATTCTATTATTCTAGTGATTAGTGTTCTTATAGTGGCAAAGGAAGTACTTTAATGTTGACAGATTGGGCAGCCTTTGTACGTTTGATAAAATGTCTCCAAGCCTACCTACCAGGCAATAGCCTGATGATATGTTGTAGACAATATTCAGGTATTTCTAAATCAGATGTATACCACATGACTTTTTTCTGTAGTTTTTCTTTTCTTTTTTTTTTAAGTGTACCTGAGTATAGCCTCAGAAAAATGTGATAATCCATGGTTTAAATGATCTAAGAATTTAATAGGTGAGACTGGACAGAAGTGGGCACATTTGTCGCTTACAAATATTAATATGCTGGTTTTCCTACATCTTCACAGAAGCAGAAGGGCCTTGGATTTGATATACAGATGTATTAAGTTGTAAACTGGAAGTGGTTAGAGACTGTTTCTGTTTCTGTTCCCATAGTTTATCATAGTATATGGCATGTAGTAAGTACTCAGTATTTGTTGAAAATAAATGAATGAAGGAAGGAAGGAATAATTACTGTTCTATGGCTTGGCCTCAGTTTATTTGGGCAATTTAATAAAATAGTAGTAATTTTTAATGTTAGAAATTGTAGAGGTAAGTGTTCTTAAACTTTGCTAGCTATGTAATCACATTAATCACATTTTAAAGGCTCTTTTTCAGAGGAAGGTAACATTCACAGGTTCCAAGGATTTGATGCAGACATTTCTTGGGGGGCCGTTTCTCAGGTTACCATACCTACCTTCCAGCTATTCTACACAGACCAACCTTGGTTTGAAAAGATAACTTGAGCATGCCATTCCTTCTTGCTTTCCACATTGACCCCAGACTTCAACAAGGCTCTTTCTCGTGATTTGGCCCCTGCTTTTTTCTCCAGCCCCATCACTGGCCCCACTGGTTACCACACTCCATCTTTCAACCATTCTGACTCTTTATTTTTTGTAGTTTTTATTAGTTTCCATTTTCTCCCTTTCTCTGTGTGTTCTGTCTCTTTGGCAGGAATATGTGTATTTCCTTTGCTTAACAGCTATTTCACATTTTAGCTCAGACATCCAGCTCCTCCTGAAGTCTTCCTGGATCACAGAATTCATAGATGAGGTATATACTGTCTCTGGGAGTCCACTTTCCCTGTCATGGTGTCTCTGACATCTGTATTGTAATTGCCTGGTTTCCAGTCCTAATTTCAACTGCTGGGTGACCATAGGTACTGTGAGGGCAGGGCCTCTGTCTCCTCTATCATATATGATAGTCTGGCATAGTCTCTGGCATGGACTAAATATTCATTAAACAAATAAATGTTTGAGGAAAAGAGAGATGGATTGGAGTTCCAGCTGCTAGAAACTGAGATTTGGAGTGGGTTTCTGGTTTTGAATAGACATGGAGATTGAAAAGAACGTCTTCTTTTTCTTGTTCAGGCTTATGGGATGAAGATGCAGACGTCTGCTTCTCTCTCCCCAGCGTTCTTAGCCACAACCCTTTCTGCATTGGATGAAGCCCTGCATGGTGGTGTGGCTTGTGGATCCCTCACAGAGGTAAAGGAGAAACTTTCCAAATCTCCCACTGGCCTGTAACGTTCAGAGCCAGGGGAAAAAGTTTAGTTGAGAAACATAGATTAATTCATACCTCAAGGGCATGGTTCTCCACTCAGGACCTAGTATAGTTGCTTTTCAAAAAATAAAGATATTCAGAACAGTCCTTGCTGACCACCTGAAGTCTGCTTCGGTTGCTGTTTCTTAAAATTAACTTAGAAACTGATGAATATTATGAAATAGCATGAAGCGATTTGGGGGAATTAAAAAAGGAACAGTACTTAGTGTATGAGGAAGGAAAATTTGAAATTTTATTAACATGTGGGCAAATCATGGTATTAAACTGAAGTAAGCTATTTTTAGTTTCTGTTGTAGATAAAATTTGGTTCTAGGATGTGATAGGCTGTGTTGGTTATGCATTGTTGCACAACAAATTACTTCAAAATGAAGTGACTTAAAACGACAATTGATACTTACTATTTCTGTTTCTTTGGGAGTGGCTTAGCTCAGAGATGTCGGTGAGGGATGCAGTGTCTTGAAGGCGTGGTGGGGCTGGAGGATATTTCCAAGAGGGCTCACTCATGTAACTGGGAAGTTGATACTGGTTCTTGGTAGGAGGTCACAGTTCCTCTCCAAAGAGGCTCTCCACAGGCTGCTTGAGTTTCTCAGGACATGGTGGTTGACTTCCCCCTGGGTGAGTAATCCAAAAGAAGGCAAGATGGAAGTGGCAAAACCTTTGATGGTTTAGTTGTGGAAGTTACACACCATTAACTTCTGCCACATTGTCTTCTTAAGAAGCATGTCATTAAGTACAGCTCACATTCAAGGAAAGGGAAAATTGGCTCTACTTTTTGAAAGAAGTGTCAAGGATTCAAGGACATTTCTTTTTTTTTTTTAGAGAGGGGAAAGGGGGAGGGGCAGCGGGAGAGGAGGAGAGAGAATCTAAAGCAGGATCCATGTGGGGCTTGATCTCACAGCCCTGAGATCATGCCTGAGCCAAAAATCAAGAGTTGGACACTTAACCAATGTTACTTTAATACATTTGTATATTATAATATGATTGCTGATGTAGCAATATTTACCACATAATTATAGTATAATATTACTGTCTATATTCATTAGACTGCATTAGAGCACTGTGGCTTATTTACTTTTCATTATGAGTTTGTACTGTTAAACACCATCACTTTTTTTTTTTTTTAATATTTATTTATTTTAGAGCAAGAGAGAGGACACAGGTGAGCTGGGAGGGGGATGAGGGGCAGAGGGAAAGAATCTCAAGTAGAGGCTGTCCTGAGGGTGGACCCTGATGCACGGCTCAGTCTCCAAGACCCTGAGATCGTGACCTGAGCTGAGATCAAGAGTCAGTTGCTTAACCAGCTGAGCCACCTGGGTGCCCCAACCACCATCACTCTTATCTCTGCACCCCACGCCTTTTTAACCGCCTTCTTAATTTTACAGATTTAACTTTTTAGATTCCACATGTAACTGATACTGTATAGTATGTTTCTTTCTCTGTCTGACTTACGTTGCATAGTGTAATGTGCTTAGGGTCTGTTCATGTTGCTGCTTATGGGAAGTTATCTTCCTCATGGCTGAGTAATTTTCCATTGTGTATATATGCCCCATTTATTATTATTATTTTTATTAACATAATGTTAATAAATGTTATTAATGTTACAAATAATGTTATTTGTTTCAGGGGTACAGGTCTGTGAATCATCAGTCTTACACAATTCGGTGCACTCACCATAGCACACACCCTCCCCAATGTCCATCCACCCAGCCGCTCCATCCCTCCAAACCCCTCCCCTCCAGCAACCCTCAGTTTGTTTCCTGAGATTAAGAGTATCTTACGGTTTGTCTCCCTTTCTGGTTTCATCTTCATTTTTCCCTCTCTTCACCTATGATACTCTGTCTTGTTTCTCAAATTCCTCATATCAGTGAGACCATGTGATAATTGTCTTTCTCTGATTGACTTACTTCGCTTAGCATAATACCTTCTAGTTCCAGCCACCTTGTTGCAAATGGCAAGATTTCATTTTTCGATGGCTGCATAGTATTCCACTGTGTATCTATACCACATCTTCTTTATCCATTCATCTGTCAATGGGCATCTAGGCTCTTTCCATAATTTGGCTCTTGTGGACATTGCTTAAATGCTGCATTTTTAAATCCATTCACCTGTGATGGACATTTAGGTTGTTAACATATCTTGGCTATTGAGAATACTACTATGATAATCATTGGAGTGCAGGTATCTTGAAGAAATAGTTTTTACTTCCTTTGGGTATATATCTGGAAGTGGAATTTCTGAGTTGTATGTAGATCTATTTTTAATTGTTTTGAGGAACCTCTATATTGTTTTCCATAGTGAGATTGAAGATATTTAGAAACTACCACAGTTCTTTCCTGCATGCTGCATTGGCGTGCTTACTGGTCCAGTGTGGCAACTCACGCACTTACCAGGATACTCCTGAAGAACTTCTTGCCTGAGACTTCTAGGGGCTTAGATATTTTAAGCAAACAAGAGCAAACTCTGACATTCTCATAGTCATGAATTCCAGTGTAGATTTTTTTCTTGAAAATGGGCATTCTGTTTTAGATACTATACCTTATTTTATGTCCTGTCTTCTAAGAAAGGTTTAAAAATATGTGTGTGCTATGCTTGGAGGATGCCTATTAGATAGTTGATAAATGAGTGAGCGAATCTTTCAAAGAAACAAACCCCCCTGCTGTTGCAGGGTACTGCCACCAGATGGTGCCAGAATCTTACTATACGTAATCTTTTTGCACTCTAGCGGGACCTCTTCAAGTGAGTTTGTAACGGCAGTGTTCTACAGTTATAAAGTTACTTAAATAGCAAAAACTGAACTTAAGATTAACTAAGAACTAATTTAAAAAATGTTTTAGAATACTTTTTAATACTTTTTCACTTGGCATTTGTCAATTCTTTCTGAATCCAAGTGTTAGTTACCAGCCACGTTGGTCTTTTGTCATGATCTGCTTGGTGGACTTGGAGCACAGATACTCTGACTGCATTTTAGTGGCCAGTTCTGTACTTCCTGTTTTAGTTACAGGTAGCCTCTTCAGTTGTTTTGGGATTTTTTTTCAGTTGACTATAGGGAGTATTTCTATTTACCTTTTATTAACAAAATTTTAATGTATATTATATATATATATATATAAGATTAAATATATTCTGCATGTGTAAGTTATGAAGTCTTATGACCCTATGACTTAATAAGAACCAGAACAATACCAGAACCATTGAAACTAACCGTGGGCTTCTCCCTGATCCTATCTTTATCCTTCATTGAGATGTAATCTTTGTTCTGAATTTTTACCATTCCTAAAATTTTTTTCCCCTATAGTTTTCTTTTACTGTCTATGTACCTAAATAGGTGCCATGACATTTATTTAGTTTTGCTTTGTTTTGAGCTTTATTAAATCATTTCTGTGATTAATTCATATCATATCTCTTCTGTGAATTATTTTTTTTTCGCTTAATAATGTCTTCTAAGATTTACCATGTTGTTTCAGGTGACAGGAGTATAATTCCCTTTTCCTGCTGTATCATATTCCACTTTGAAAATATGCCACGATTTATTTAACTTTTTTCTTGTGGGTTGTTTCTAGTTTGAGGCTAATATAAACAAATACTTTGAAAATTGTACATGTCCCCTGCATCACATGTACAAGTATTTCGCTGGGACAGGGATTGTCAAATTACTGCCCAATGATCAAATCTAGCTTGGTGTCTGTTTTTGTAAACAAAGTTTTATTATAACACAACTATGCTGATTTGTTTATGTTTTGTCTGCTGCTGTTTATATGATAGAAGGCAGAGTTGAGTTAGTTGTGGTAAAGATCTCATGGTCTGTAGAGCCTAAAATATTTACTATCTGGATCCTGTCTAGGGTATCTACCTTGGAGTGATTTCCTGGTTATAGGATATGTGCATAATGCAACTTTGCAGAATCAGGACAAATTGTTTTCCAGAGCAGTTGTTCCTGTTTGAATTTCTACCAGTGATGTGCAGGAATTCTTCTTGCTCCATGTCTTCATTCCTTGGTATTATCAGATTTCTTAACTTATGCCCATCTTTGGCATCTATGATCTTAGTTTTCATTTTCCTGATTTCTAATGAGCTTGAAAATTTTTTTCACAAATCATTTGGTTATTTCAAAAGCAGTTTTATTAAGGTACAATTTAACCACTATAAAACCTCAACGATTATTAATTGGATAATTCAAGTAATTTTCTAGTAAGTCATCACTATAGTCCAGGTTTAGAACAGTTCCATCACCTTAAAAATTTCCCTCATGCATATTTATAGGTAATCCTTGCTTCCATCCTCAGCCTAGGGTACCCACTCATCTGTTTTTCTGCTTCTATCTATATATTTGACTTTTCTAAACATTTCATATAAGTGGGATCATCTAATATGTAGTCTTTTGTGTTTGGTTTCTTTTACATAGTGTGATGTTTTTGAGGTTCACCCATGTTGTAGCATGTAGTAGTAGTTTGTTCCTTTTAACTGTGGATTTGTATCGCGTTGTATGGCTGCAGCACATTTTGTTTATCCATTCCTCAGTTGATGGACACTTAGATTGTTTCGTTTTCACCCAGCAGGAATAATGCTGCTATGAACATTCATGGATAGGTCTTTGTATGGGCATAGGTTTTTGTTTCTCTTGGGAGATTACTAGGAGTGAGTGGATAATGGATACGCTGAACTTTTTAAGAAACCCCAGACTGCTTTCCCAAGTGGCTGTACCATTTCACATCCTCACTGGCAAAGTGTGATGGTTTGTTTCTCCGCATCTTCACTAACATTTAGTATTGTTTATCTTCTTGATTTTCGCTATTCCAGTGGGTGTGAGTGGTATTTCATTGTTGGTTTTTTTTTTTCTCCCCCTTGCACCACTGGGGGACAATAGGCAACCCCATCCGCACTCTCACAGCCAGGCTTGTTGTGGAATTGCCAATTTCATTGTAGT